ATTTTCCAACTACTGATCCTTCCTCTTTGCTCCCAACCTTTACATTCCAATCACCAGTAATGATCAATACATCTTGATGTATTGCATATTTGATCAATTTAAGATTGAGGAAGTTGGTAGAAGTCTTCTATTTCACCATCACTGGCTTTAGTAGTTGGTGTATATATTTGAATAATAGTGGTATCAACTGGTCTTCCCTGTAGGCATGTGGGTATTATCCTATCACAGACAGTGTTGTACCTCATGACTGATCTGGATATGTTCTTCTTGACAATGAATGCAACACCATTCCTCTTCAATTTGTCATTCCCGGCATAGTAAACCAAGAGATTGTCAGATTCAAAATGGCCAATACCAGTCCATTTCAGCTCACTAATGACTAAGATATCAATGTTTATGTGTTTCATTTCATTTTTGACCTCTTCCAATTTTCCCAGCTTCATACTTTGTACATTCCATGTTATGATTATTAATGGATGTTTACAGGTGTTTCTCTTCATTTTGAGTTGTGTGCCATCATCATATGAAGGTCCCATGGGCTTTTCTACCATGGGCTTTACTCCATTTGTGTCATCACGATCAACTCTTCTTTGAGGAGGCAGCTCTTCTCCTGTCGCATTTTGAGTGCCTTCCAACCTGAGGGGCTCATTTTCCAGCACTATATCTGACAATGTTTCTCTGCTATTCATAAGTTGTCAGTGACTAAATATTTGGAAGTAGTTCGTCACTCCTTCTTCCTAGTCTGTCTTCATTTAGAAAGTCATCTGAAACCTGTCCACCATGGGTGACCCTGCTGGTATTTAAAATATTTGTGGGATAGCTTCCAGAATCACAGCAACTCACAAGCCACCACAGTACAACAAAGTGACAGATAAGTGGTTTTGTTTAGATCACAGTTATTTTAGTTTTTTTTTTTGTTTTGTTTTTTCATAAGTACCTTAATCTAACTGTAACTGATAAAATATCCAATTAGCATTTCTGGTACCCAAAATTAAGTGACTTAGGTCAAGATGCTTTTCTGAGGAAGTCTATCTGCCTCGGAAATATCTTTCAGAACTGCGAAAGGCTCCAAGGAAACTTGGCTTGAAAGATATCATAGAGATTGCCACTCTTCATCAAATTGTTTTCACTGTTTCTCATGTCCTCCTCAAATTGTGTCCACTTGGCAAGGTCATGATTCTCAGTGACTTGACAATTATATAATGATAACAATTTGACAATTATGTAATGATATTTTCATATCCCATGATGTGATCTAATATAACTGGTTGCAAGGGGATTAGGGTGGGACACAACCATCTTACTTCAGTCACAGCCCTGGCCTGTAAGGGGATGTCCTCTGGGGTGTGGCCTGCATCACCTTTTATCTTGTTGTTAATTGCCATTGAGTGTGTTCTGACTCATAGAGACCCTGTATTGGGTTTCCGAGGAGCGGCTGGTATGTTTGAACCACTGACTTTCAGGTTAGTAGTCCAGTGCTTATCCTACAGTGCTACACCAACACTCTACCTTTTATGTTATAAGGGATAAAAAGAGAAACAAGCCAGCAGAGAGGAAGGCCCTCAGTACCACCAAGCAACAAGAGCCAGTAATGGAACACATTCTTTGGATCAGGGTCCCTGAATTAAGAAACTCCTAGGCCCTGGAGAAGATTGATGACGGGACATTCCTAAGAGCCAACTAGAAAGAAAACCTTCCTGTAGACTTCTAGCCTCCTAAACTAGGAGAGAATAAATGTCTGTTTGCTAAAGCCAACCACTTGTGGTATTTCTGTTACAGTAGCACTAGAAAACTAAGACACCTTCCTAATAATAAAGTTGTATAGTCACCAGTCACCTAGCTAGGGGTTGTACTTCCCAGCAGCCCTTGTGGTTACACATAGCGCTGGGATATGAGAGGAAGTGGCCAGTGTGCTCCACTTATGGCCCAGTGCCCTCAAAACAATGAGTTGCTTCCTCTACACTTTCTCTTCCTTCTTTCTGCTGGTAGAGAACTATGGCAGTCCAACCTAGAAGGCCTAGGAGAAGACACAGGCAATGATGAAGAAACAGGGGACCCAGAAGGATGGTATAAAGTGAAACTACTAGAACCACTGTTATGTGAGAGGAAAACATATAGTTTTGTTGTCTAAGTCACAACAGTTTGTTATACTTTTGTCACAACATTTGTTACATTTTAGCTCTGACCTTAAATATTACATGTGTATTCCTTCACTCAAAGCATCCTTTAAGGAAATCAAAGTAGAATTATTTCATGCCCTCATCTTTTCGGTGGGTGTGTAGGATTTCAGTGATTTACTTACTGCCCAGCCTCTCTTGTCCTTCTTTCTAGTAAAAGTATCCTAAATTTCCCTTGGTAAGCTATCATTTCTACTTTCTATTCCTGTAAACTAGATGGAATTGGCTTCTCCTTCAATTCTGGAGAGGGTCCTTAACTCACCCAGCCAATGAGAACATAAAACAACTTAAGTCAACAAAAGACCAGGAGATATTTATTTGCTCAAGTGTCTGGGAAACAGATACTTCCTTACTTTTTTGCAGTCAATATGCATCTTTCTTGGAACAGTGTAGGATGATGAGGTGAGGTCTGGAACTGCTGCAGCCATGTTACACATGTGAGGGGAAAACCTAGACTTGACAAGTGACCCCCACATGGATGAAGCCAAATGTGTGAAAGCCAGAGCAGAGAAGAGAATTAAAGGAAATCATAAGGCCTTTTATGGATATAATTTAAGTCAGTGGTTCAGGCTGCACCTGAAAACAGCCTTACTTAAATTTTCAGTCACATGAATCAAAACATTCTTTATGTTAGCTTACATTGGTTTGAAAGACAATATAAAAAGCCATTCCCCACAAAGCAGGTTACTAGCACTTCACACCCACAAAGGCAGAGAAACTTTCCTGATTGGTACTCTACATTAGGTAACCCCAAATTATACAGGTTTATAGGTATTGGACTGCTAACTGCACATTTGGTGGTTCAAACCCACCAGCTGCACCTTGGAAAACAGGGTCACTGTGAGTCAAAAACCCACTCAACAATATTAGCAACAACAAACAACCAAAATGTCACCTGCTTACTATTTCCCGCATACCTGGAGATTCTATCCACTCTAACAAAGCAGTGTCATACAAAGGCTATTCCATTAGCCTCCCAAAGCTAACCCATCATCACAGTGTTTTTCTTTACGAGCAAAGCTCATTATGCTCTCATGTATTTGTCCATTCCCCAGACTTCATAAGAACTTGGATCCCTCATTTCCTCTTGGTTGGGCTGCTCAAAGAACCAACAGATCTGTGTTGGGAAAAGTGCAGCCAGAGTGCTCCTCGGAGGCCAGGATGGCCAAACTTTGTCTCTCATACTTCGGACATATTGTCAGGAGGGACCAGTCTCTGGAGAAGGATATCATGTTTGGTAAGGTGGAGGGTCAGAGAAAAAGAGGAAGACCCCCTGGGAGATGGACTGACAAAGTAGCAGCATCAATGGGCTCAAGCGTGGCAACAATTGTGAGGTTGGCCCAGGATCAGGCAGTGTTTCGTTCTGTTGTGCATCGGGTCCTATAAGTTGGTATCAACTCAATGGCACCCAACAACAACTAGTCACAGTCCCTACTCCCCTTCTTATATGGAATCTGGCAGCCTGGATTTTAGTTAAATCCTTTCTACTGCTCTGGACCTATTGTTTCTCCTCTCACACTTATCCCCAAAACACACATGTGCATAATGAAATACAGCAAGTCATGCCTTCACAGGCGAAAAAACCGTCAGTGAGCAAGAACTCTGCATCTCCCATAGTTCGTACTTACTGATTTACAAACTGTCTTCCTTGCTCAACTCCTTGGAGGAAGCAATATCATCTTCTTCCTCTGTTATCAGCTCCTGACACCATGCTTTGCACATACCACACACAGTGCACATTCATCAGGGTTTGGTGAAAGAATATGTATAATTGATGATATTTTGCTAACAAAGGAGATTCATGTCTCAGGTTAACCACAGGAATCAGGCAGCCACAATTCTCTGGCATGTGAGCAGACTATTGCGGAAAGCTACCAAGAGATGAATTTGGCAGCAGCAGGTCATAAATTTCAATCAAACAGGCAGCAGGAGACACCCGTCCCAATCCTCAGGTGTGTTCCTTCCCACCCACACAGGTTACTAGAATGAGGCCAGGTCATAGCCTATATTTTTCCCTCCCAGACATATTAAGCTTGAATTTTAGGCTCAGTCTTAAAATTGTCAAGCTTCTCCTATCTTCTATAATTTAGGCCTTGACCCTGGTTATAATGACAGACTAGCGCTTTAGCTGTCCTTGTGAGTAAATCAAAGAGAGGGCACAGCGGAGGCTACTGAGTCATAAGAGCAACCAAAGCAAGGCTGTGAGTTCCAGCTTCAATGTGATTGATGCTCTGAACTCCAAGCTCATTTTCAGAGTCAGGAAAACCAAAGCCAGCTAACCTAACAAACAACTTGGTAACAGAACCAAACATGGGAAAGAGAAAGCCACTGTCTCAAGTGTTGCTTTGTCCCTGCCTAACTTTCAGAATGAGCTAGTCACACGTCTCCTCCCAAAGTCTTACCACATTTTCAGGCAGCTTGTGTCCAGGGAGATATTTTACATTCTCGTGGTCATTATTTATGATGTCCGTCAGTTTTCTCCCATTAACCGTTTCTTCAAAGACCCACATCTTGACTGTGGAGGCAAACTTCTGAAGCTTCTTGACATTAGTACCAATTATTTTTGCGACAGCTGAACCCCTGCAAAAGGAATCAAAGAAAAGAAGAAAAATATTAAACTCAGTTGGGCAAAAGAGGAAAGGCATTAGATCAATATTCCAAGGATTCATGTTCTGATTCTGACTCAAGCATTAAGTTTACTCAAGGTGAGATTTGATTTGATGAAGCAAGTATACATTGCTGCAATTTGATGAACTTGACTTGTACTTATGGATGTAGTAGCTCAAAATACCAACCGAGAGGAAGGGAGCCTTCACATCAAGGATCAAACCAGTCCCCTCAGTATACAGGGTTGATAGGGATGGTCAACTTAGACATTGTTTACCTAAAATGGGGAGACTATAAAC